CTAATACCTAAGGAACTGTGAAACCCATCGCGTTCTATAACTTCGCGGTTGCCAGCGCATCCACCGCGGTATCAGAAGCGGAGCACCGCACCGTGGTAAGTCGTTTGTACTACGGGCTGCATCATGAGGCTTGTTGTAGGTACTTCCGAGTGAACCAGAACGCCAGCCACCTAAAGTTCACAAACCGTCACCTGGAGTTGGGCCGCAGGTTCAATGATCCCACGAATCCAACGGCTGTGGGCATCAGCAATTACCTGCGCGACTTGAAGAACCTCCGAGGGTCGGCCGACTATGACTTGACCCGGCTACGCTTCCGAAATCGGACGTTTGACTTCACAGCAATTGATGTTGGAGGCACTTGCCCGTGCTCAACAATTGCTGCAGTACTTGGAAGTTTACTCACCGGGTGAGGCTGCAGATGGCTGCTTGTGTCTCGTCCAAAGGTAGCCAGCGGAACCGTTGTCCCACTCTCCGGTTCGCCCTCCGGCCCCCCATATCGCACCCGCCCGCCCCGCCGTTCGAGGCATTCCCCATTGTCATCCCACAGAAGCGAATGGCACGCGTCGCCGGGAGCGCTTTCGGGGCCTTCGGGTGAGGCCGGCGTGTGCTAAACTGACGTGATGGCCGTTGTTCGGCCCACCGTTACCTAAAATTCAATTTTCCCGCTCCCGTTTCCAAGGAGGCTCGTAATGCCCAATAAGCGCGGCACCGGCTTGATGATGGTCTGGTGCGATGTTCCCGCCGAAGCCGAAGAAGAGTTCAATCACTGGTATAACACCGAGCACCTGCAGGAACTGCTGTCGGTGCCGGGCGTGCTGAACGCCGCCCGCTACGAGGCCACCAGCAGCGGCCCCAAGCATCTGGCGATGTATGAACTGGATAGCGTTGCCGTGGTGGACACCGACGCATTCAAGAACCGCCCACCCACTCCCTGGGGCCAGAAAGCCGGCCCGCGCGCGGTGGCGACCACGCTGATCAACAACGTCTACCAGATGATCCATCCCACCAGTCTCAGCGGTGAACTGACCAACGCCGACATGTCGCCGGCTTTTGCAGATTGGCCGCATGGACGTTCCCGCCGAGGCCGACGCCGAGTGGAACAACTGGTATTCCACCGTGTACGTACCCAACTACGAAAAGGTGGACGGCTGCACCCGTGGCCGACGCTGGAAGGCCGTCCGCGGCGAGCCGTCCTACGCCACCGTCTACGAGTTTGCGAATCCGGAAGTGTCGTCCACCGCTCCCTGGCTGGAGCAGCGCGATATCCATCCCGACAACGTCAGGATGCGCGAGGTCATGACCCACGCCGCCGGTTCGCCGGGCATCTGGCGCAAGACCTTTCAGATTTAGCTGACCGACTGCACATGACACCTCGCCCGTCGCTGGAACGGAAATGCCGTGAGGCTATCGTTCCTCGCAAAGACGGGCGCGTATGACAACCGCCATCGGTTTCATCTACAGGAGCGCTCCCGCCGCCGTTGCAGCGGGGGTGGCGCTCCTGTTTTGCGTAATTCAGATTATCGTCATCCCGGCGATGCCCGGCGGTTTGTCCCCGGCGGAAGCCCAGGACATCATCGGCGCCACCACGCAGTACACCAGCGGCGGCGCCGGACCGTACACCGTCGAAGGTGAGGCCCGCCTGCTCCCATCGCGGCAGGCCGCCATCCACATCGTCAGGGTTTCCGACGCCGCCACGGGATTGCCGGTGGACGATGCCCGCGTAAAGGTGTTGATGTCGCTGCGCGGGAGCGACAAAGCCGGTTGGGCCCATGCCATCAGTCCCAACGTTCCGGGGCTCTATTCGGCCACCGTGGAGCTGGGAGAACCGGGCATTTGGGAAACCACGCTGCTGATCGAACAGCCCGAAGGTGGTGAGTTCGGGGTGGGTTCCTTCACGTTCGAGGTTGCAACGCCCACGGCGGAACGCTCCGCCGGCTTCGTTTTCCTGGGAGTAGCCGTTGTCCTGATGCTCGGCGCCAGCTATCTGGTTTTGCAGATTCGTCGGAATCAGCAACGTCGGCGACTGGCGTCCGACGAACCGTCGGCATGAAGCTGATACCGTCGGGACCAGCCGGCCGCTGGGCAGCGGCGGGAGCCATCGGAGCCGTCGCCGCGCTGGCGCTGGGCGGGATAAACCTGGTATCGGCCCACCAGGGAATACCGCCGGGACAAACTCCCGCCACCGCCTGGGGGTTCACCACCAACCCGGTGCCCAGCCTGGTCCTGCTGGCCGCGCTGTACCTGTATGTCAACGGCCTGAACAACTGGCCCAACCGCACCCACCCCGTCACGCGATGGCAACAGGCCAGCTACTACGCCGGCATCCTGGTGCTGTTCGTCGCGTTGCAATCGCCCGTGGAACCCCTGGCCGAGCACTATTTCTCCATCCACCAGGTGCAGCATCTGCTGGTGCGAATGGTGGGGCCGCTGCTGATTCTGCTGGGCGCGCCGCTGACACCTATCCTGCGAGGGATGCCCACCTGGCTGCGGCAGCAGGTGGTGCGGCGCATCGTGCGGTTGCGGATTGCGCGCTGGTTGTACGGCAAAATTACCAACCCGATACTGACCACTGGCATGTTCCTGGGACTGTTGTACTTTTGGCAGGTGCCGGGTCCCCACGACCTGGCGGTGCACAACGGCTGGATTCACGTGCTGATGCACGCGACCATGCTCACCAGCGGGTTCCTGTTCTGGTGGATTGTCATCGATCCCAAACCGCACCGATCCCGGCTGCACCCCGGGCTGCGCATCCTGTACCTGGGCCTGATCGTGCTGCCCAACACCCTGCTGGGCGCTGCCATAACCTTCCGTGAGGAGGTCATCTACCTGGCGTACCAGGACGTGCCGCGACCGTGGGAGGGGTTGTCGTCGATCACCGACCAGCGGTTGGGCGGCCTGATGCTGTGGGTGCCCGGCGACATGATGAGCGTGCTGTCGGCGGGCATAGTGATGATGATGTGGTACCAGCGCGAGATGGCCGAAAACCCCAACCCTCCCATGCCCGTGCCAGCGGCGCCGGAAGAGGATGACAGCGCGTCTGACGAGTAGGGACGGAAGCGAGAAGGTAGCGAGTAGGTCGAGTAGGTATGGAAACGAAGGGCAACAGACCGGGCATAGGGATATGCAATGATTTGGACTACCAACGAAGTGGTGGGGGTACTGGTTTTTCTGTTGCCGGGGTTGGTAGCGTCCGCGATGTTCTATTCGCTGACAGCGCATCCCAAGCCGAACGAGTTCGGGCAGGTTGTGCAAGCGTTAATATTCACGATTTTGAGCCAGGCAGCGGCGTGGGTTGTCTATTTGACGATACAAGCGATGTGGCCGGAGTTCATTGGACCGGAGGGTTGGGAGTTTGTCTTTCCCGTATTGGTGGCGGCTGTTATTGCGTTAGTCGCAGTGTACTGCTCCAATCACGACACGGTACACCGGTTGCTGCGATACGGTAAAGCGACTCGCGAAACATCCTATCCATCAGAATGGTATTCCGCTTTCGCAGAAAACGATGATTGTTACGTTGTATTGTACTTTCACGACGGCCGACGCCTGTATGGATGGCCGCAAGAGTGGCCCGGGAGACCAGACCAAGGGCATTTCGTAATGGCCGAAGGTGAATGGCTGCCATACGATTCGGATGATCCCGTTCCTGCAGGGGAAATTCTCCTGATTTCGCAGAGGGACATCGCAATGGTGGAATTTGTTAGAATTGATGGAGACCAAGTCTCGGAGGAGTAGAGTTATGACGAGAGTCGCTAACCCGCCACCCAGCCAACGCAGAGAGGTAGACAAATCGAAATCGGTCAAGCCGGTAAGGGCCACTAAGCCGCCACCGCCACCACTGCCACCACCGCCACCGCCCAAAACATAGTCTCTCGAATCTGACGCAGGAAAAAGAGGTTATAGCGACCGGTTGAATTGCCGGTCAGTGTCGAAAATTCCGGCGTTGCACGCTACCGCTTTCCTCTGAGCATCTGCTGGTGAAACATGGCAGACCACAACGGATATACACATCGGCCCGAACCACGCTTCGACTGGTTCATTCCCATTGACGGCGATGGCGACCGGGCCGGCACTCTGCGGGCGCAGCGTCCGCCGACCTTCGACTACCTCACCAGCGTGGCTAAAACCGCCGAAGACTGCGGGTTTTACTCCATGCTGATCCCAACGCGGTTCGCCAACGGGCTGTTCAGCGAGGACGCCCCGCTGGCCGAGACGTGGACGACGGCCACCGCGCTGGCGGCGGTAACGTCGCGCATCCGGTTCCTGGTGGCGGTGCGACCGGGCTTCGTGGCGCTGGGCCTGTTCGCCCAGATGGCCGCCGCGCTGCACCAGATATCCGGGGGACGGCTGGACATTAACATCGTGCCCGGCGGCATCCAGAACGATTTTGAGCGGGTGGGCGAGGTTAGCGACCACGCCACGCGGTACGAACGCGCCGAGGAGTTTATCCAGGCGTGCCGCGCGTTGTGGCAGGACCCGCAACCGGTCAGTTACGCCGGCGATTTCTACCGGCTGCAGGGGGCCTACTGCTCCCCGGCGCCGGGAGACGACGCGCCGCGATTCTATCTTGGGGGCGCATCGCCGCGGGCCATCGGCCTTTCGTCGCGACAGGCTGACGTTCACCTGGGCTGGATTGAACCACTGGCCGACACGAAACAGCGGATCGACGATCTGCGGGAACAGTTTGAAGTCGCCAACCGTCCGTTGTCGCTGGGGTTACGCACGCACCTGGTGATCCGCGACGACGAGGACGAAGCGTGGAGCGCGGCCCGCAGCCTCATCGCCGACGCCGCTCCGGAGGTCAAGGCGCAGCGGCAAACGGCCATCGTGGGGACGCCGATGGTGGGGCAGCAGGCCCAGGCTCGCGAGGCCGAAGATCACCGGCTGGCTCGGCACCTGTGGAACGGCCTTTCGGAGGTGAGGGTAAATTGCGGCAGCGCCCTGGTGGGTACACCCGATCAGGTGGCTGATGAGCTGCTGGGTTACTGGCATCTGGGAATCGACGAATTCATCCTGAGCGGTTTTCCTCACGTGGAAGAGTGCCACCGAACCGCTGAACAACTGCTGCCCCGGTTGCGCGACCGCATCGCCGCCGCCCGCAGCTGACAGATTTTATGCTTGCCCCAGTCCGCGCCGAGGTAGTCGTCCACCGTGAAGAATAGCCTCGGCCTTTCATTATGGTTGCTGCCCAGGCGGATTCGGTCTGCCTGGGGATTGCTGGCGGTTACGGCCTTCGGCGTGTTGGCGGCGGTAACCATCATGGCGCTGGGCGCGATGTATTCGCAGGCGCTGGCCGAGGCGGGATTGCGGCACGCGTTGGCCATCACCACACCGACAGCCATCAACACGCAGGTTGTGGTGCGCAACCGTCCGCTGGGGCCTGAGGACTATCAGGCGCTGCGCACCGACATCGAAGCCACCATGGACCGCGACGTGGGTTATCTGGTGAGGAGCCGGAACCGGTACGGCAAGGTTTTGCCCACGATACCGATCATAAATCCGGCGAGCACAACTGCCCTGGGCGCTCTGGATGAGGCTCCGTTGGGACGGCCCGTGTTCGTTACCGGGTTTACCGAGAACTCTGTCATCGTGGATGGACGATGGCCGCAGGACACCGTTACGGCTGACGAGAACGGACGCCCCCACATCGAGGCGGTGATTGGTCCCGATACGTCCCGGCAACTGTCCTGGGGCGTGGGCCAACGGGCGTGGATGGTGGTGTATCCGTCGGAGCCGCCAGAGCCTCCGCAGTATATTGCGGTTACCGTGGTTGGCATCGCCGAGCCCATAGACCCGCGGGCCGAATACTGGATGGGCGCAACGGATTATTTCCGCATCGGGGACTGGGACGGCCGGCCCACGGTGCCGCTGTACGTTACGGAGACAGCGTACTTCAACGGAGTCGGAAAACCCTACCCGACGCTGGTTGGAGATTACGGATGGTTTCTCTACATCAATGCGGACGTGATTACTGCCGACACCGTGCAGCAAACCCGCGATGACCTGACGGCGCTGGAAACCAACATCAACAGCCAGTTCCCCCGCTCGTACGTGCTGACTATCCTGGAAAACGGTCGGGGCACCGGGCTGCTGGCAAAATATCAAAAAGAGCTGACCCTGGCCAGGGCGCCGCTGTATCTGTTCATATCGCTGGTGGTGGTGGTGATACTGTACTTCCTGGCGCTGGCGGTGGGTCTGCTGGCCGGCGCCAGGTCGTCGGAGGCGTCGATGTTGCGCAGCCGGGGCGCGAGCATGGGACAGGTGGGCGGATTGCTGGGATCGGGTGAAGGTCTGGTGGTGGTGGTGGCAACGGCGTTGGGTCCGCTGCTGGCTTGGGGAATCGGCAGCGCGCTGCTGCTGGGGACCATCAATCCCGCCGATCGCGCCGGCATCGGGGATACTCCCATCGAGGTGGGGCTGTCGTGGCAGATGTACGCCATGGGAGTGGTGGGCGGTCTGCTGAGCCTGGGTGTGCTGGCCGTGGCCGGCGGCAGTCTGGCCCGACTGGGCATCCTGGACTTCCTGCGGGCCCGGGCGCGACCGCCATCCGCGCCGTGGCTGCAAAGGTATTACATTGACGTGCTGGCCGTGGTCGCGCTGATGGTCCTGGTGTGGCAGATTCGGCAGCGGGGCGGGTTTGTGGAAGGCACCCTGACCGGACGCGGGCCGGCGCTGGACCCGCTGTTGTTACTGGCTCCATCGGCGGCGCTCCTCACGCTGGCATTCCTGATGCTGCGTGTGCTGCCCTGGGCAATGACCGTGGCTGCCTGGACCTCACGCCACACCGCGCCGGCCTGGGTCGCGCTGGCGTTGCGGCAGATGGCCCGGCGTCCACTGCCCTACGCCGCCCTGACCGTGGTGGTAACGCTGGCCGCGGCGTTGGGGGTGTTTGCAGGATCGTTCCAGACCACCCTTGCCCGCAGCGAGGCAGAACAGGCCAGCCACCGTATCGGGGGCGATATTACGCTGAACGCGGCGCGATTCCTGGGCGTACGGGAAGCGCAGAAAGTGGCGGCGCTGAATGATATCGAAGGTGTGGAGGCGGTATCCCAGGTGATCCGTCAATCGGTGAGCTTCGTGGACGGGCCGACCCAGCGGGGTGCCCTGATGGGGGTGGATCCGATCACCATGCCGCGGGCAGCGTGGTGGCGTGATGACTTCGCGGCGGATGCGCCGGCCACGCTTGACACGTTGTTGGCGCCGTTGCGTCGCACGCTGTCTGTGAATACGGCGGGGATCGCCTTGCCCGAGGAAGCCGAGAGCGTCGGGATGTGGGTGCGCCGGGACGACAGTCTGGAACTGGGAGCGGCCGTGCCATTGCCAACCTACCGGCTGTGGCTCCGGATAGGGGACGAACGCGGGTTTTATCGCAATGTGGAATTGGGTACTTTAGAGCCGGAATTCGAAGAGGCCGTGGCATGGCGGCACTATCGGATTCCACTCCCCGAAACCAGCACCGGATCGCAGGACGGCGGCAACCGGCGAGTGGTGGCGCTGTATATCTCGGGGGATTCGTTCTCCCGAACACCGCCCGGCGGCCTGTCATTCGACGACCTGACTGCGTATGGGCGGGGGCTGCGCGCCGGGGGCGAGATTCTGGAGGGATTTGAGGATCTGGGGCCCTGGGTGGTGCTGCCCCAGGGAGGCTCCACTCCCGACAACATCGAGAGGACCGCCAACTCTGCCCACTCGGGGGACTTGGGATTGGCCATCCGATGGCAGGAACCGTTGGGCCGGTCGCCACGCGGCATCATAATCCCGCCCGGGCCGGTGCCGGTGCCGGCCATCGGCGGTCCGGGCTATACCAGCGGCCAACTGGTGCGGGTTACCGTGGATGGATACATTGTCCCCACGCGCATCGCATCGGTAGTCGATTACTTCCCCACCCTGGACCACCGGCGGAGTTTCCTGGTGGTGTCGGCGCCTGAATTCAGGGCGTGGTTGCAGCAGGCTCCGGGCGCGCAGCCGGTGATACCCGACGAATGGTGGTTCGACATAGCCGAGGACGCAGATCGGGAGGCGGTTTCCGCGGCGATACGGGCCGAAGGGTACGGCCTGTCGTTCATCAGGGACCGCGCTGCCGCCGTCGATGTGGCCACGCGCAACCCACTGGCCGGCGGAGCCTGGAACGCCCTGACGGGTATCGGGCTGGCAGCGCTGGCGCTGGCGGTTGGGCTGGCTCTGTGCGCCCACGGGGTGGTGGCCGTTCGCGAGCAGCGGGTTGACATGTCGGTGGGCGCTGCCCTGGGAGTTGCCCGGTGGCAGCGTTTTGCCGGCCTGGCGCTGGAACGACTGATTATCGCCGTGCTGGGGATAGTCGTGGGCGGCCTGGCGGGCTGGGCTCTGGCGCAGTGGACGCTGGGCCAGTTGACCACCAACGCAGCCGGCGGCCCGGTTACTCCGCCGCTGGTCTTTGTGGCTGAAGGGCCGTGGTTAATCGCCACGTTCGTATGCCTGGCGGTGGCTGCCATCACGGCCATCACGCTGGCGGGGTTCACCGCGGGGCGGTTGCGGCCACCCGAAATATTGCGGGAGACTGAGTAGACCATGATGGCGATATTGCATTTGGGCTATGTGCTGGCGCGTCGCCGGCTGATGTCTTCATTTCGCATTGAGCTGACGGTTTTGCTGGGCGTAACGCTGTCGGTGGTTCTGCTGTCCAGCGCCGTGGTCTTCAACGACCTGCTGGCGGAAACAGCGCTGCGGCGGGCTTTGGCCGAGGCAGATTCTGACGATGTGAACATCTGGACCAGGGTGTTCAACGACCTCGACGACCCGCGCACCGCCACGGCGGCCAGCGATCGTTACGCGCTGTCCAGACAGTTCGTGAACCAGCGCGTAATCGCGCCGTTGGCCGACTCTATTGGCGCAGCATCTTTCCAGGTCGAAACCGCCACCTTCTATTTTTCGGGGCGACCTCACCTTGACCTGCCCAACAGCGAACGCCCCCGGGGACGATTGCAGTATTTATCGGGACTGCAGGAGGGCAAGGCCACGCTGGTGGATGGGCGCTGGCCCCAATTGGCGGAGGACGGTGGGTACGACGACACGACCGGCGACACGGACGATATCGTGATAGAGGTCGCGGTGGACCCGCCCGGGTTTGAATTCCTGAATATGGAGCTGGGCGGCACGTTTTACGTATTGCCGGCCACGGGCGGGGAGGGACAGGCGCCCACGCGCGTCGCGGTGGTGGGGGTCATAGAGCCGACTGATCCTGATGAGGAGTACTGGTATCGCCGTCAGAAGTTGCTGACCTACCACGACGACGACTGGACGCTGGTGCCGCTGTTCACGTCGGAGCAGGCGATACGACAACAGGTTGGCCGCCGGTATCCGGGAATCTATATCAGCTCGGCGTGGTTTTTGCAGATTGACCGGAATGGCATTCCCGCCAAGCAGGTTAACGAACTGCAGCAAACGTTGCGGGAGGTGCGGCGCAATGTTACCAACCACCTGCCCAACGGCAGTACGTCAACCGGCCTGGCGAGGATTCTGGAAGCGCATGAGGAGCAGCTACTGCTGGCCCGCATCCCGCTGTTCCTGATGGTGTTCCTGGTAACCGGCATCCTGGCCTACTACCTGAGCATCACCGCCGGGATGGTCATCCGGGCGCGGGCGGCAGAGATCGCCATGCTGAAGAGCCGGGGCGCGACCACTCCGCAGATCGGGATACTCACCCTGGTGGAGGGTTTGCTGCTGGCCGGGCCGGCATTAATAGCGGGCGCGCTGTTGTCGCCGGTTTTGGCGCGGGGCCTGGGCGGACTGGTGTTCGACACCGCATCAGCCGGCGCGCCGGTTTCGCTGTCGTGGCAAGCATTCGGCATGGGCGCCGCGGGAGCGTTGCTGGCGGTGGTGGTGCTGTCGGTGGCGACGCTGGCAGCGGCCGGCAAGGGGATCGTGGAATTTCGGCAATCCGGGGCGCGGCCAGCCCGCACGCCGTTTATCCACCGATACTATCTGGACCTGCTGGCGCTGGTGGTGATCGCGTTTTTGTGGTGGCAGATATCGAGCCGCGGTACGGTGTTAACGCGCAGCCTGGGCAGCCGCGATCTCGAGATAGATTTTGCGCTGCTGCTGGGGCCAGCATTGGCGCTCATTGCGCT